ACGTTAATGAGATCCCGGCCTGGTAAACACACCCCCGCAAGGATAATAATATTAGCTGCATTATCTGAAAAGCAATCATGCAGGAAAGGTAACATTTGCTTGAAAGGACTGTGCGGAGAGAGGTCCATGCTGTAACTCGTTCTTTTGGAGCAGGGATACCCCTCCCTCCCTCCCTTACGGCAGCATGCCACGCCCACTCTGATCAAGGGTGCATGAGCTGGAGGAAGTGAAGAAAAGATGGGAACCCAAACGGAGAGGAAGAAAACAGAGGCCTTCGTTTTCTAACCCTGTCCCTGGCTCCAGTTGGGCAAGAGTTTCTCAAGAAATCTGAGTGTCCCTCGCCGGAAGCAGGCTTCATCCTGGAAAGATAACCAGCTGCGTGCTTGTGGGGCGTGGTTTTTCCCTTCCGTGGTGAGGAGATGACTCTGGCCATGCTTGGCACCTTTCCCCACAACCAGAGAATCATCTGGGTGTATCTAGCATTTGAGTGTACCTAGCATCCGAGTCAGCAAACGCCTGCCTCCGGTCCCTCTCGCATCTCGTTGGTAAGGAAGATGTCTGATGGCAAGTGGGAGGGGCCTGCAGCCTCCACGTGCGTCCACAGAGCCAAGCCAAGGCCCATCACCTTAGATGGCCTCTGGCCAAACTGAAGCAGATCTCACGATCCTGAACATTCATTCTGTTAAGCACAAGACACTTCCTTTTCACCCCTAGCTTACTCTACTCCACCTCTTCTTTCTCTGAGACCTAGCTCTTCATTTGAGATCTTCCAGCGTCACGAGAGCCTCTTCTCCTTATTGAAAACAGCTAGGCCAATTAATCCGTTCTGGATTATTGGAGTCTTTTTGACTTTTATTGGCATCAACATTTACATTTGGGAGAGAAGCAAATAGTTTATCTGGAAGAAGATTTCTCTAGTAGTGAAGTTTCTGGTTTGTCAAGGTGAGATTTTTTTTTCTAGTGCCTCGAACTCCTACTTGGCGACCACCGATAGTCTGTACCCAAGTATGGCTCTCATACTCAGGTCACAGTTCAACTGTAGGAAGTGACTGGCAGCTGTTCTCAAGCTTAACCAGTTGCTTTGGTTTAGGGCTCGTTTCAAAGCCATTATTCAGAAGCATTACTCGCAAAAAATTCAGCCTCGATGGTACCATCTTCACCCCGGTTCAAAGATCTTTAGCATCTCCCATCCCTACCCAGACCCAGGCTGAGAAGGGATGGGAATACTAAGACGCCAGTCATGTGGTCACTTTGCAGCCCATGTACAGAGGCCTTTCTCCCTCCATAAACCCATCAACCATTTACTAAACTCTGCAGCTGCACCGAAGAACCAAACAGGCAAAGGTCCTACAGTGCTAGAGCCAAAAAGTGGAAATGGATTAGGTTACTTCTGTTTATCCCCAGAAAGCAGAACTGAGGCTTGTGGGCAGCAGGCCCAGGGAAATGTATTTCTGTTCCATATAACACACAACCAAATATGGAATGCTCTAGAACAATCTCTCCTTGCAGAAACTGTAGGCCGATCAGTATGCAACGGTGTGGATGCTGGCTGCAGAAGTTGCATGCGTGAGACAGAATCTGTAGCTCTCTGTTGTTCTTTACAGCAACCGAGACAATTGTTTCAAGCCAAACAGAAATCTGACATGAATTTCAATACAGAAATGAGTGGAGTTTCTGCAGCCAAAGGGGGAATATTACATCATCCCTCCAAACTCTGGATATGCACGACACCTAGACAGGATGACCAAGGGACTTCCTCCCCAGCTCAGTGCCACCAGATCTGGGACTAAGAAGGATGGCATAAGTTGTCAGGTTCTCCTCCTCTCTCTTCTCCTCTCTTTTCCCATGACACAGTCTAGAGCAACCAGAGAGAGGAGGCAGGGGCTCTGGGATACAGAAAGGCCCTTCAGAACTGTGACCTGGTTTTGCCAGAATGAGTCAAAGACAGTATCACTTAAACCTACCTGGAAGTCAGAAAGGCTCCTTTGGTACCACAGTCCCTTGCCCAAGATCCTGAACTGTAAGGAAAAGCCAAGAGATCAAAAAGACCAAAAGGACCCTTGGAGGAAGGAGACATAGGACCGCAGAGAAAAGAAAGGATGCTCACAGCTCCCAACCAGTCGAGTACAAACCGGTACCATTCACCAGAACTCCAAGTGTATTTAAATGCTTTGTTGTTGATTTTTTAGGTAGGTGGGAGCTTGCTGGTTTGTTAGGTCTGGGGATCTAACCCAGGGCCTCAAGCATACTATAGACATGTCTTACCACTGGCCTGCACCCCAGCTCACATTCGGGATCTCTCAGGGTCAAGTTTGCTTTGTAACAGTGGGCTCAGTCCTTATACCACTGGGGACATAATGGCTATGACTTTACACAGCTCATTCTCCTGTCTGCAGCAGGAAGCATGCAGAAGCATTTCCCCACGGGACTCTGTGCCACCTAGGTCTCACCCTCCCAGGTCACAGTGTCCTCAGAACCAGCAGCTGCTTTCTAGGTTGGGACATGTAAGGGGAAGAAAGATGAGACCGTGAAGCCTAAGTTCTCCCTATGTAAGGAGAAGACATACGTTTCTTCAAACTGCCCGTCACAGCCTTGCAGTCCTACTGATCAGTCTTCAAACTGCCCACCATGAATTTGATGTCCCCTAAACTGGTAGGTTTTGAAGTTTCCAGAAAAGTGAAGGAATGCCGGGTTGACACATGATCTCTAGAGTTGGAGCCTGAAATGGCAGAGTACATTGAGTTTGCTGAAAGCCATGGTTTCCTCCAGCATCTGATGTGGAAATGTGAGGTGGGAGGTCAGGTGTTGGTAGGGTTCTGATGAATAAGACTCAGGGTAACTGGTTTAAAACAAATTAAGATTATCTTGCTCTGCCAGACTATTCAGAGGCTTGAAAACACAGAGACCACTGAAGAAAGGTAGAAGGAATGTAATATGTCTTAATTTTATTTGAACGCTGAATATATTTTCTCAATGGGCAGATCATATCCACTTTTCCATAGCACACTTTGGAAGAGGCTGTCACAAGTTAAACATGGAGACAGATCAAACAGCTAAACACTTACCTTGCAACATTGCAACCCAGGGGGCCTAAGTTTGACGCCGAGTAGGGGCAGGGGAGAGAGAAGCCAGGTGTGGTGTGCAGCCTTGTAACCCCAGGGGAGATGGAGACAGGGGGGGGGGGGGGATATCAGCCAGCATCTTCCAAAAGAATATGACACATATTTCTATTTTTCTTAAAATATTTTATTTTAAATACTCATATTAAAAATAAAACAACAGAGAGTGGTGAGATGGCTTTATGGATAAAGGTGCTTGCTAATAAGCCAGATAACCTGAGTTTGACCCCTGGAACCCATGTGGTCAAAGCACTGACTGCTTCAGGTTGACCTCTGACCTCCACATGCAAGTTGTGGCTAGCATCCCACCCCTACCAGGTACACAAAATAAAAAAAAAAATAGTGAAAGAAATAAACAAATAGATGAAATCGCATCTTTCTGAATCTAAAAGTATGAGGGGTTTTGTGTTGTTGTTTTGTGGGTTGTCTTTTGAGACAGGGTTTCTCTGTGTAACAGTCCTGGCTGTCCTGGAACTTGTTTTGTAGATCAGGCTGGCCTCAAACTTACAGAGGTCTGCCTGCCCTTGCCTCCCAAGTGCTGTGCACAGCAGGCCAGGACTTCACTGCTGAGCTAACAACACAACCTCTTTTTCACTTTCTGTTTTGAGTCAGAGTTCTGTTAATTGTCCCAGCAGGACTTGAACTTGGCTCTGTGGTCCAAACAGGACCTTGAACTTAATGAATCTCCTACCCCGGTCTGATGAGTACAAGAGATTCCAGGCTGGGGCCACTAGACCCAGCTTTTAAGATAAATTATTATTGGGTTCGGGGTGGGGTTGTATAATGATGTGGGGGACAGTTGACCACCAAAGTCTATTAAACCAGAAGCAGACTTTATTTCAGAAAAAGAAAAGAAAATCACCATGGGGCACACAAAGCTTATCAGCTATATCTGTGACCACAGCAGAGATGGGGCTTCTGGAGCTGTGGCAATGGGGGCTGGTTTTGGGGCCTCCTCTGATAGTAAAACCAAGCACCAGTGTGGGTCAGAGAGCTTTGACAGCCTGGAGGTCGGGCTTAAAGTCACATTATATTTTAAGTTTTACAACTTTTGGTTATAAGACATTAGAATATTAACTTAGGATGTTTACAAAGTGTGTGGCTGACACAGTCGCTTTCCACTGTCCCTGAAAGAATGCAAGGCAAAGAGTAGAGTCACATAGGGGGACAGATAAAAATTAAGGGACTACAAGCAAAGGATCCCATAGAGGCATAGTTAGAAGCTAACCTTTGTCCCCAGTACCTGCCCAGCTGGGAAGCTGGGAAGCAGGAGACAATTATTAAAACTTTATCCCTGTACACAGTGGCTGCCAGGATGTCTGCTCTTAAGGCAGAAAGAGTTTGTTAAAGGTTAACAGTGGCTGCCAGCTTTATTTACTTCTTTTCTCCCAAAATGTGTTTGGGCTTACAACTTTTTAATTTCTATATTCCTGGACCAGATCCTTTATTTCTATATTCTATTCCTAAACTCTTCACTCTCATATCTATAAAAACAAACAAACAAATGTTTCTTCTTCTTTTTTTTTTTTAATTTTCTTGCTCTTTCAGATGTCAGGCTCACCAGATTTTCTCAAGATGGGTTTTAGTTTCATTTTTAAAACCCATTTTTTTAAACTACAGTTCACTGCTTTCTTTTTTAACTGAATTAAATGATTTGTTCATGGTTTGGGGTGGTCACAGGTTTGGACACTGCTTGTAGAATAGACCGTACCTGGGAGCCATTCTCTGAACTCTGACCTCACTCCCCTGTGATTTGCCAAGTGTGACTGACCTTTTGCTTTTGACCCTTGCTCTTTTTGGTGCTGAGCGCACAATTCTCATTTCCTCTCTGGACAGTTAACTGCCCCTCAGGGATTCTTGCTTTTACCAGTTCACACAGCACACGGGCAAATTTGAACTCCTAAAGGGTATGTTAGCTGAGCCCCAGCGGAGAAGCAGATCAATGTGTCTTCTCGTTCCTGCCCCAGCCCTCAGGACCTCTAACATGATATGGGAAGGGAGAAGAGCTGACTATGAGGTGAGGAGATTGCTCAAGATCATCCCATGAGCCTATTGTCATCCCAAGGGTCCTTCCAAGTAAAAGAGGAACACAAGAGAATCAGCATCACCATGTTTTAATATGACTAGTCATTGAGATTTTGGAGATGGGAGCTCACAGACCAAGAAATATGGAGGGTCTGGAGTTAGAAACTAAAAGTCATCCTTAGCTATTAGACCCTTTCCGGATACCCTGGTGGCCTTGAATGAAAGACTGTCATCAGTCAAGCCTTCAGAAGGATCACCTTCCTGTCAGCACCAGCCATTTTAACACCCATGCATGCCTTGAGGAAGCTGTCCTACAACCACAGCTGCTTGCTGCTCAAGCACAAATCCAGCACCTCAAGGTATTGTCTAGACTATGACTGTTTCAAACAGTTTGAGCTGAATGCTTTGTCCTCACAAGCCTCCACAAACCCTAAAAAGCCTTGAAGCATGAAACCATCCAACCAGAGGGGGACATGGCTTGGTGGCCCAGCAGAAGGATTATGACTGATGTAAATACACTCCTTCATTTACGTGATGGTCTGTCATATTTGCTACAGATACCATTGTGGCTACCAAAGAGGGCTCTTCAGTTTATTCCATGAGCCAACCGGGAGACACCCCTCTGAGAGGGCACTGGTGTGGCAACAGCAAACTCAATGAAAGGTTTCTCTCCAGCTGTCTCCTCCCACCTACTTTTGATTTTTGTCATTCATACAGGAGCCTGAGATGAGAACGTGAAGAAGGAGGAAGAGGAAGGTATCGATGCAGTATCAGAGGCTGTGGCCGCTGCATCTCTGCATTGTGACAGTGGCAATAATGGCAGGAAGCCACCCAGTAGCTCTAGACTGCTAGAGCGGTGGTTCTCAACCTTCCTAACGCTGTGACCCTTTAATACAGTTCCTCATGTTGTGGTGACCTCCCCAACCATAAAATTGTTTCCATTGTTACTTCACAACTGATTTTTCTACTCTTTTTTTTTTTATTTTTTTTTTATTTTTTTTCCTTTTTTATTTATTTATTTTTTTAAATTTATTTATTTATTAAGGATTTCTGCCTCGTCCCCACAACCGCTTCCCATTTCCCTCCCCCTCCCCCAATCAAGTCCCCCCCCTCATCTGCTCGAAGAGCAATCAGGGTTCCCTGACCTGTGGGAAGCCCAAGGACTGCCCACCTCTATCCACTGTCACTAAGACAAAAAGACAACCCACTGACTGGGAGAAGATCTTCACCAACCCTGCAACTGACAAAGGTTTGATTTTTCTACTCTTATGAACCATAATATAAATATCGGATTGCAGGATATATCTGATGTGACCCCTGTGAAAGGGTCATTTGACTCCTTCCTAATTGAGGCAGGAAGTGCCCACTTAAATGTGAGCAACACTATTCTCTGCACATTCCAAACTGCATAGAAAGGAGAAAATGGGGTGAGCAGCAGCAGCAGAGCTTTCACCTCTCTTTGCTTCCTGACTATGGAGTGAGGTGACCCTGCTACTTAAAGCTCCTGTCTGTCACCATGGTACTTAAAGCTCCTCCCCTGCCATGATTGACAGTACTCTCAAACTGTAAACCAAGACAAGGGCTTCCTTTCTTTAGCTGCTCGCCCCTCCCCCAGGAGTTTTGCCACAGTGGTAAGAAAAATGACCACTACACAAACCCCCTGCTGCAGGGCGCTGTTTGCTTTCTACTCTCTGCCCTCAGAACCTAAATCAGAATCAAGAATTGCAGGAGCTGCCAGCTCCTGGGGTCTCTTGGTGGTGATTAACACCCAGGAGGGTGAGCACACAGTCCAAGAGTGAGGGTCATCAGTCTCTGACTGCTAAGGGATTTGGAGTGGGAACACCTGAGTGTAGGAGGAGGGCCTGCTTGTTTATTCTGGCCGCCCAGCTAGCTTAGCCCTAAAATAACCACACAGCAACTGTATTAATTAAATCACTGCTTGGCCCACTAGCTCTAGTTTCTTACTGGCTAACTCTTACATCTTAATTTAACCCATTTCTATTAATCTGTATATCACCACGAGGTTGTGGCCTACCAGCAAAGTTCCGGCATGTCTGACTCTGGCAGCGGCTCCATAGCTTCTCTCTCCTCCTCTTTTTCCCAGCATTCCATTTAGTTTTCCCCACCTAGCTCCATTCCCCTGTAGCTCCCTTATAGGCCCAAAGCAGTTCCTTTATTAACCAATGAAAGTGACACATAGACAGAAGGACCTCCTACACCACCTGAGTCTGCCGTGCCTAGGCCTTATGCTATGTGCACACTCTCAAAATTACCAGCCCTGGGGGAGCCTCTCCTTGCTTTCCTGTGTCGCCCATGATTCATGGCCCCAGGAAGCTGGTTAGTGACTGTTCTCTATATCTTGATCGTTGCTATTTTGGCTCCATGGCTTTGTTTCCTCCAACACCAAGCTATTTCCATAGTTGCTGGAAACTTAACCTAGTTCTAGAGCAGCGTCTAAGTAGGACGCGCATTTACAGGAATCTCCCCGACATACCAAGTGGCCATGGCAAGGACTCGGGCAAAGGGTGAAGTAGAAGGAAGCTGGGGAGACATTCTACTTAAACTTTCTTAGTTTTCAAAGAAATCACAAGGCTGGACCTTCTGCCCAGTTTGAAAGAAAGTAGATCCAAAGGGGGGTCATGACCCCTGGGTTGGGTGGGACCATTTAACTCCTGTCTGCACTGGGTCAGATAACCATCACTGGCTGCTGGGTAAATCCCCCTCCCTCTAAAGGGCTAGGCAGTTCAAGAGTATGAACTGCAAAGAAGACTCTGCTTAGCTGGGATTTCTGAGGTTTGGCCTGGCCAACTAATTACCGATAAGATTTTTTGTTGGCCAAACCAGCAGAAACTTGTTTAGTCTTCAAGAGCTTTGTTCAAGTAAGAAGCTGGGAGGGTAGGGAAGAAGTCAGGACTGGGCAAAGGGAACCTGCCTCAAAAATGCACCAGGCCTTTGTCCAGTGGCTTGAGAGGGACCTGTTCTCTACGTATCACAGTCTTGGAGGGGACTCTGAAAAGATTATTAGGTTTCTCAACGTCCTCAAAGTTCGTCACACTGCCTGGAGTACTTGAGAAGCGTCAATACACCCCTGCCCTGAGAATGAGCAGTAGTACCTCCTGTGGCCTGTCGTTACCACTAAAGTCCACTGTGCACCTAGGAATATAATGGAATGTTCCTTAGCATTTCTAGCTTTAATTGAAATGAATTCGTTAGCCCTAATTCAAGTTAATATAAAAAATAAAAAAGAATTTTCTTTAACAAGTATTTTTTTCCTTTCTTTTCAAATTTTTTGTTTTTGTTTCATTGTCTTTTATGGATATTGGTGTTTTGCCTACGTGGATGTCTGCACACTACATGCAAGCCTGGAGCCTGTGGAGGCCAGAAAGAGGGCACTGGATTCCCTGGGACTGGAATTGGAGAGCATTGTGGGCTGCCATATAGGCACTGGGAATGGGATGCAGGTCTTGTGCAAGAGCTGCCAGGGCTCGTAATTGTTTAGTCCTTTCTCATGCCAGAAAGTACTTGCTTTCACCTTTTAAAGTTTTCTGGTAGTCCCGGGGATTGAACCCAAGGTCTGACACTGAGGAATTGTGTGTGTGTGTGTGTGTGTGTGTGTGTGTACATGTGTGTAGACGTGTGAGCACATGTACATATATGTTCATGTGTGGAGGCCAGCAATGGACATCAGACATCTTTCTCCATCACTTTCGACCTTTTCTTTTTTTTCAATATTTATTTACTTATTATGTATACAGTGTTCTGTCTGCATGTATGCCTGCAAGTCAGAAGAGGGCACCAGATCTCATTACAGATGATTGTGAGGCACCATGTGGGTGCTGGGAATTGAATTCAGGACCTCTGGAAGAGCAGTCAGCACTTTTAAGCACTGAGCCATCTCTCCAGCACAGAGCCTGAAAACATGAGCGTGACCATGACACGAGAAGGTGACAAAGAAACCAGGTATGCTGTACCACGTTAATTAGGCCAACTTTCAAGAGCCTATAGCGTGCACACTTTAAGAAACTGTACCTACAGAGTGCTACAGCTGATGGACAAACCTCCGAATATCAAATGAGTAATATATAGATCGACCAGAAGGGAACGTCTCATGTTAACATCTCAAGGCAACGTGACGCCGCCGTGTGGAGCCTGTAAATCCAGGTGTAGCAAGGTTGAGATAGCCCCGCACACTCATTACCATTGGCCAGACTTACAATTCTTGACTTCAGTCATCATCAAAAGATAAGAAAAAAAAATGTGCCTTGGACACATGAGTGGTTTAACTATTTTTCAAACCTATTTACAGAGAAGAAACACCCAGAACCATGCTAGCAAATACAGATGCTGGTCCCCATGCACGACCTACTCAACTGAGTGGAACTCTAAGAGGTAAAACCCTGGCATTTGTATTAAAACACGGGTACCCCAAGCAATCTAGGGACACGCCTGCAGCACTACTGCCCTGGTGGGATTTCTTAGAGGCTCTTCCAGGGAATCAGTGCTCCTGGCCTGGTAGCCTGGTAGCTTCAGATTAGGGAAGTCCTTCCTTGTCTACCTTCTGGCTAGATCTGACTTCAGCTTCTTTACAGGGGCAGAGGGAGGACAAGTAGATCCCAGAGCCCTGATAAAGAGGAATGTCTCTGTTGTCAGACTACAGTTCAGTCAGGCTTTGACCACTTGCCACCTCGACAAGGAGTCTTGTCTACTCTCTGCCTCAGTTCCCACATCAGAAGATGCAAGGAACAATCTGAAGTGCACAAGGACACCAGTCTACCAGGCAAGGAGCCCTGGTACCCTGGGAGAGCCTCTAAGACACCCCACCGGGGTCTATAAAGGGTTTGTGTGGTACACATGTGCTCGGCTAGTGCCAGCTATAACTAGTAAGAATTTGCTCAGCCGACTCACCCATGTTGTAATGGGAGGCCTATAGCTTCACCAGAACCCACCTGTTCCAGAAAGTAAACTGGCTTCCACCAACTGCACACTATATTTGTTGCTTTTGTGATATCATGATAATGGGAACAACTTCAGGCTTTTTGGTTCACGGATGGAAAACAGTCAGTGGTGGCAGTACAGGCATGGAGGCCGGAATTAATCAGCCCATGGTGGGCAGGAGTGTGTAGTGGAGACTCCTCCTATGATGGCGAACAAGGAAGCAGAAAATACAGGCAAGTGTCAGGAGTGGGGATAGCTATAAATGCCCACCACTCACCACCTATATCCACCCATTAGGTCCCAGCTCCCAGGGAATCCACAGCTTCCAGAATAGTGTTATCAGCTGGGGGCGGGGGACAACGGATGTTCACCACACACCTGAACCAGAACAGACAACATGTCCCTCTCTGCTCTAATCTGTTTTTTTCTACTGTTGCCCAAACCTTCACCTGCACACATGAGGTTCCTGAGGCTCCTGAGGCTCCTGAGGTTAACCGGCTCCCCATCACCCAGCTGAAAAAAGACAGATGAAACAGCTCTGGCAAATACCCTTGCCGTGAGGATTCCCCAGGCGCTTTTTAAATGGTTAGCATAAGGAGTGGAGAAAGGCTTGCCCTTTAAGAATAATCTAAAGACAGGCATTTTGAAACTGCGAGGGAGGAGGGAAATAACACCAACCACACTCTCCATTACCTGAGCTTTGGGCCATTAGCCAAAGGAAAGCCCTACAAACATATTCTTTGCTTATCAGCCTCCCCTTGGGGTGGGCAGACACTTCCCTGGCCACCTTATTTAAAGCCACAGCGACAAGATTCTCCCCCCCCCACTTTCATCTTCTTCTACTTCTATAACCTCTTCACCTTCTACAGTTGTGGTTATTGGTTAAGCTTATTGTATTCTTCCTTCCTCACTAGAGTATAAGGCTCCTCCAGGGAGGTGATGTTTAACTCTGTTTTCTCTGTACCCATCTGTCTAAACTAGACAGGCACTGA